GTATGGAGATGTACGAAATAAATCGCATACTCTTGGAGAAAAATTGAAACTATTGCAAAAGGGGGCGTGGCATCTTCCATACAAACCAAATTTTTCATATTGCATTTCTCTGGAAGTGTTCATGGTATAGTTCTGGAACTTGGTACGGAGATATACGCAATCAACTCTTGAGGAAAAAGTGGAACTATTAGAAAAGGGGCGTGGCATCTTCCATACAAACCGAATTTTTCATACTGCCTATCTTTGGAAGTGTTCATGGTAGAGTTCTGGAACTTGGCATGGAGATATACGAAATCAATCGCTACTCAAACGTACGGACCTTTAGCTATCTTTGAATGTATTATTTAATTCTGTTGTAGGTGTGTTGGTGAGTGAAATCCTCCTAAATGGTTGTACGGATTTTAATGAAACTTTTTGTGTGTTTGAGTGGGTCTCTGGATGGTTTAGTTTCACAATTTAATCCGACAGTTGGCGCTGTAGTTGAGTTATTACTAAAAATCTTATTTATGATCCTATTTGGATAATGTTTTAAATATGTATGCAATACTATTGCAAAAACGTGCTGCCAAGTGGTGCTGAAGTCGAGCTATTACTAAAAATAGCCAAGTGAGAAAAGGGGCCGTGCAGGCCAGATTAAATCGACCTGTTGTACCGTTGAGTATATCGAACGCTCCTGCGTTGCGATTGGCCCAATGGATGTGATTTTCCAATATTATTATGCGTTCAAACTTTTAAGGTATTTCGTCTGAAATAAGTATATGTATATTGCATTTCTGTAGAACAATGATTCGCACCCATTTTTAAAGTGCCACCAACTATACTGTAAAGCTTCTAGGACATTTACTATAGAACCGGGTCATTGTTGCCGCCAGGGAGTGAAAAGAAAAAAATGTATTTCGCTTTGCGAATAACCGTGCTATGAAATGCCGCACAACTGGAGAATTTCAAGAACTTCTTCACGGATATTTATTAGGTTATTTAAAGCGGGAAATTACCACCAAACCATAATCTTAGCAAACGAATGTGCCAATGAAAATCGTAAACGTGAATTGTTGGTGAAAATGTTGGACCAAAAAGTTTCAATAAAATATATAAAAATATGGGCGGGACGAAGTTCGCCGGGTCTGCTAGTTTGAAATAGGCCTGGGTAACGGCGCAAATTTTTTGGGCTGACACACTAACTCCAGCGCCACTGTCGGAATCAGCACAGTGTGTTGGCGCAATTGCGCCTCTTCAGGCTAACACTCATTTCCTTTATTGCTGCACGCTGCACCAAAGTGAATTAATACAAGGTGATATCGGTTGAGAAAAAACTCAAGTATACCCAAGTTCAAAACCCAAAAATACAACAAACCTATCTTTGTCACATTCAGAAGGACCGCGACGAATTCTAGCAACACCACCTTGTATAAATTCGCCTTGTGCTGAACATTTTACAAGAGACACTTCTATTTCGGGTGTTCTTTGTTGGTTCTTTGCGGCACCCGGTGTTGTCAGTGTCCCGGTGTTGAACTAAGGTGAACTAATACAAGGTGGTATCGGTTGGGCAAAAACAACTCAAGTATACCCAAGTTCAAAACCCAAAAATACAACAAACACATAATTTTCACATTCAGAAGGACCGCGGCTAATTTTAGCAACCCCACCTTGTAAAAATTCGCCTTGTGGTGCACATTTTATAAGTGGCACTTCTTGTGTTCATTGCTCGTTCTTTTCGCCGCCTGGTGTTGTCGTGTTCCAGTGTTGCTGGCGCCATTGCGTCACTGAGTTGTGAAAATCGGAATCGGCGCCAGTAACTCAGCTCTCGGTACCAGCGCAATGGCGCGCTCCCACATCTTTATTGCCCCCTTTTACCTTTGGTCTGCCGGAACAGCGTGTTTCCTGGGTCTATAGTTACACTGAGAAAAAGGATTAGTTTCGACAACTAAAGATATTTAGTTCCCGAATTTTGACAATATTTGGGAACTGTGACCAAGGATTGGGAACTATTACCATGGGTTGGTAATTATAACTAAATATATTAAAGCTTCTAATATTCATCTAGGTTGCACAAAATCGTTAATTTAGTTAAAGGGTTTGGTAAATACTAATAAATATTTTTTTGAAGCATATTTCTACAAATTCCATTCAACTTAACTTATGGTTCA